TTACCACGTGATTTTCCATAAATTACTCGCACTCACGTGAAACAAATAGGAGCGTGAACCACGAAACGATACGCCTCGCATAACATAAAATTAAAAACGGTTGGAAAGTTCTATCACTGACCGGTGACAAATTTATATCCTATCATAAGCTACCAACGCGTACATTCTGTTTGATTGATCTTGTTGAGGAAGATAAAAAAGTGATTTTTGTATTTTTCTTTTCCTTTTGTTTTTTACTTTGTAAACAACGATCATCCTATTTAAACCTTTAATTTTTCCTTAAAATTCCAAGAAAAAAACAACATTTATAACGACGTGTTTATTATTTTTAAAGAACTTAACATATTTAATTATATAAAAACAAATGAAATCTTCAAAAAACCAAGCTTTGAGAGAATGAGACGATGCACAGTATCAAGCGTAAGAAAACTATCTAATGGAACGAGTAGAACAGACGGAAATTGGAATCAAAAAATAGTAAAATAATGCTTACTTTAAAGATTAATTATATTCACATAAAAATTTTTCGTAGGTGCCACTGACGACTATCAATACTATACAAGCTCTTGGTTTTCTTTGGAATAATATGAGTCTATTCTTTGTAGAATGCAGTTCCACAAAAACACACACGTATACAACGCTTAGTAGCCAGGAGTAGGGACTACGAAGAACCGCACAAAGAAGAGACCGAGAATAGGAAAACTTGTATATACTGTATTTTATCTCATTCTCTCGCAGGATTTATCCTATAAATATATTAAATATATATATATATATATAATGTTTATCTCTTTTTCTCTTTTTAGTTACGTATTATACGTAACTAAACGTACAATAGCTTTTGGTCATTTTTTCATTTCATCGTTTCATCCGTTTTCAAATCACTTTGATTCTAAAAAAGTTTTCACTTCAAAAATATTTTAATTATTTAAACTCATCGTAAAATGTATTTTTGATCTATTTGTTGTATCCTCCTGATCGAAATGCTTATAATGATCGTCATTGTTGATAAAATCAACTGAAAATAATGTACATTGACGTATCGATGCAGTTATCAGTTTGTCGGATACGCGTTATCGTCTGGTCTAGTAATTTAACGTAATATATGTTCAAAATTTGCGTCCCACGAGATATACAGACGAACGAGTGTAAACGTTAATTACGTCGATGACAGAGTAACACCGAAAGAGAAAGAGAAAAAGAGAGAGGGATAAAAAACAAGGAAGAAGAATGAAGCAGGACGAAGTTACGACATTTACACCGACCTAGATCATTTATATAGTTTTATGCTCATTATTCATCGTCGTGTCGTGTTCCTTGGGATTATTTTTTTTTTCCAAACACAGCATATATACCCTAATGACGCGTATCCATAAACGAGCTTTTTCCAACATTGGCTTTTTTTATCTCTCTCTCTTTCTTTCTCTCTCTCTCTCTCGCTCTCTCTCTCTCTCTATTCCTCTCTGTCTCTTAATTTCTCTTATTTCATGCGCCAAATGTACGTACAAATTAATTCGAAGGATAATAACAGGCAGCATTTGGCACTTCGCAATTCGACGAAGCGTTGCTCTCGTTAGCACAACCGATCCAAAACCTATGTGGTATGTGGTAACGGCACACAGAGCCTACTCGATTTTGGTGAAATATTCTTCTACGTGCGTGTATATAATCGAATTGGAGTTCCGAATTCGGTAGAAAAATTCTCGAAAAATACGAGCCACATACGGATTGAATGTGAGAAAGAGAGAAAGAGAGAAAGAGGAAAAGTGTAGAGGAGATAATATCGGTGCAAAACATCGATTCGTCGATTTTCACTACGTTCATTCCCATAACGTTTACGATACGCTAAAATCGAGCTGCGGTAGGTTCTCGTCGAGTGCACTAAACGTAATACGGTTTCCTCTTGTATTATGCAAGCTCCATAGCACTAATGGTCGTCGCACACGGGCGAGATTAATTAATTTTATTACAAATAATATTATGATAGTATCGTTGGATATATATGTATATATATGTATATATGCATATATATGAACGAAAAGCAGTGCGATACTTCTCGGAAAATAATCATCGATACATATGTCTGTGCATGTGTGTACGCGTGAGTGAAATAATTCATTTCAAATGGATAAACGTGTGTATTACTTTTTTTTTATTTCTTTCGAATTTCGTCTTGGACAAAAATCGTCAAATTATCGAGAAAGAGATAAACAATTTTTTCTAAACCTCAATACAATATCACCACTTTGAAAATGCGAAATCTTCCATAGGAAAAATATTTCAACGATATTACGGAGGTTCCTTAACTCGTGCAAATCCTCGATGTTACCTTGTAACGACGTTGACACGAGTTCTTTGCGTTACGTGACATTCCGCGTTAACGTTAGTGCGCGCGTTGGAATTTTATCATCGATCTTTCTCGTGGAAAAAATAAAAAACAAGATAAATTCTTCTTTTCTCTCTCTCTCTCTCTCTCTTTCTTTCTTTTTTTTATTTATTTATTTTGTTTTTTTTTCGTTAAAATCATAACGACGACATATCTTTTTCGATGCGATCGTTATCGTACATTTTCGTTATCTATATAATCAATATATTGCCAGTAGAGAGATATGTATGATCGTTACCTTCGAAAGAAAAGAAACATCAATTGAAGTAGAAATCTACATTGTGTTAAAATGCATAAAGATATTTCGTTACTCATAAATCGAATTACGATTACCACAATTTTTGCTTTACAATTTTCAAATTAATACGACAAGTTCATAAGCATATCTATTAATTATCCCAATAATAATAACCTCTCTCTCTCTCTCTCTCTCTCTCTCTCACACACACACACTCTCTCTGAAGTACAAATCATTTCAATAAATTTTGATACTTGAACGAGTTCCTCGAATATTTCGAAATATTCCGATGAACAATTAAACCTTGGTATACTTGTCGGAAGAGGTTAGTTGTTATTCACCTCATTGTGAATTCAAGCTGGCAATTTTCCACGAAGGATGAAATTCACGCACCGAAACGAACACCGAGTCTATTCTCTCCGATGATTTTGGCTTCTCGACGTTAAACGTGCTAGCAACGAAGTTGGACGGAAGAAGAAAACAAACAAAAAAAAACTACAAGTTTAAGAGAACGAAAGCACGGAAAGAGAAAGAAATAAATAAAGAGGAAAATAGAGGAAAAAAGAGAGAGAAAGAGAGAGAGAGAGAGGGAACAAACGCCATCTTGAAAATACTTGTATCCGTTGAAGAAAAATAAGAGTCCATGATGCAGTAGAAAAATTTTCTTCTTCGTTTTTCGAACGATCCTGCTTTCGTAGTTACAAAACGTCGACGTTGAATTATGATTTCCATGAAACTTAACTCACTCTCCTTTATATCTTTTTCTTTAACTTTATCCCTCTCTCTCTTCGCTGGTTTATTTCTAATGCATCGTTTTGTACAATGCAATGAAAACAATGCATACGCGGTTTAATTACGAAACTTTTACTCTTTCTCATTGCCCTTATTCCTTGCTCTCGGTAAAACGTTAGATGCTCACAAATTTAAACCTTTCACTAGTTCTTTTTAACTTTTCCCTCTCTCTCTCTCTCTCTCTCTCTCTCTTTCTCTTTCTCTTTCTCTTTCTCTCTTTCTCTTTTTCTCTTTTTCTCCTTCTCTTTTTGTCAAGCTTTTTCTCTTCAGCTCCGAAGGCCCATTGCGTCTCATCAACGGACAATGCCCGAGATAAAATATTAATACCGGCCGAATATGTAATATTCATGATCCCCAGCACCCCCAGTCCGGCCCCCTCTCATCGTTTTTCCCTAGAATCTACCAATGTGCTAGTGTTTCGTTTTACTGCGATGCGGGCTTCCGAGATATCATAGAGGAAAGATCGAAAGGGTGAACAGTGTAAGAAGATGAAGAAGATGAAGAAGAAGAAGAAGAAAAAGAGGGATGCAGCGAAGCGTATTGTTAGATTTTACCAAGATCAAAATCTCGGAGGAATCCTTACTGAAAAGGATATGTACTCGGCTAAAAAATAAGAAAAAAAAATTTCACGAATTCCTCACTTGAGGAATAGGGTTGAGAAAAGTCTCGTAAAATGAAAAATACTAGAGAAAAATATTATGTACGCGTAAAATAGCAGCAGGATTTATAACGAAAATGAACGAGGAAACGAGTTCTACTAAGGTAAAAAAAGAAATAAATCATAATAAATAAAAAATTCAAATAAAAATTAAAATCGTCCCGAGAGATTTCTCTTGAAGTACGTACCCGCTAATGTGATTTTGTGAAAATCTCTTTTTCCAATAAATTATTAAAAAAAAAGAAAAAAGAAAAGGACGGAGTGAAAATTGCATACGCCACATAACGTGTGTCCCCGGTGTGCAGTAATCACTCTCGAAATCCTTTGTGTAACCGGAAAAGAGAGAGAAAGAAAAACGAATGGAAAGGATGCAGGAAGGATGCAAGATGGTCGCTCGAATGTCCAGTCGGAGAATCCTCCTAGGATATAACTCGTTAGTCCTTTCACGACAGACTTATGGCACCCAGGACCGTTCGTTCCCGTTCACAGATGTTACATCGCCCCAGCCAAACTCCGGCAAGGATCTTCACTTCCTTCCGTTCAAATTGCATCAGCAGCGTCTTCACCGATCACAGACTTTCTTTTTCATTACTCCTAAAATTTTCGAAACGTCTTCCTGTAGAAAAATAAGAAATAAAATCGTTACTTTTTTCCCACTATCCGATGAAATCCCTGGAGAAAGAAAAAGAGAAATCCCTAACGAATATGAAAAAAGTTTTATCATTTTTTTCATTTCTTTACGACCGTCTGTCCTTTAGAAATAAATTAATGTACTGATTAAAATTAACTTTTTAGGTGCTGAATACTTTCGATGGAAGCCTAGTAGTTGTGATTGTTAGAGTTAGAATACTATTTTTGCTTGCATGAACTATGTTGATTGAATAAAAGATAAAAAGAAAAGGATTATAAGAGTGAGTTAGGTCGAAATAATTGATAAACGCATATATGTGTTCAGAGTAATAAAAGGGGTTATTATATAAAGGGTATAGCCAGATAAGTATGGGAAATCTGCCCCCGTGGCTTTTTTGACTCGCACTTTGGTTTTCACCACAAATTTTAGCTCTTTTACTGAAACGATTCTCGAGATTTTCAAAAAAACCTGTTTTTTCGATTTTATTTTATTTTTTTTTTTTATAGTAAAATT